TGTTGCATAAGCTTGCGGTACTTCTTTGACCGTTTTGCCCTCATCGATGCGGTTCAATCTCCGCTTATAGGAAGTTTGGAATTCTGGAGAACAAGAAAATAGAGGCGAAATGTCCAAACACATCGCCCAGCGGTTTCTGAATTCTTTCCAAACTCGGAAATATTTGATGCCAAGAAGTATAATTGGCTGAATTAAGGTTAGTGTAGAGTTTAAATCTGCACTAGCCACTTCTGGACCTTCCTCTGGACTACTCAACAGACAAGTATATGTTCTGCGGGAAACAGCATGCTATCTACAACAAGGCTAATTATTTAAGGATAGACGAGTGTGGAATCCCAAAGGCAAACGCAAGTCTGGCCTGGGCAATATTATGCAGGAGCAATAGGCATGAAAAACTGAATTCATACAGAAGCAGTTGAATTAAACTAAAACCTCCAAAATGTGAATATTGGAAGCTGTCTTTCAAACGAAGACCATCCTTAGACACATCTACATACATGCCCTACATATGAAGTTTGTAGTTACGAAACAGCCGGTGCCAGAGGCAGACGCAGAGGCAGACGCGGACGCCGAGGTTGGAATGTCACCTCATCTAGATGCATTCAAGTGCCAACGCGAGCGTGGTGAGCGAAGCACGCTCGTAAACAAAGAGGGCTTTCCCAACAAACATTGAGATACGTATTGTACAGGAAAATAAACCAAGATCTGTTTTTTCAAGTACATAAGAATATATTGGGGAGTTTTCTTTGTTCATCAATGCCAGATTTCATATCGTCATTCACTGGGCCAACAAAATATGTATGTACAGTACAACCCAAAGAGAACCCAACACATACATAAGTCTTCGGAAAAATTAATCATAATAGTGAAAATCATCACGGTGGGGGGAAAGTCTAATACTAAACTCGATGGGGGAAAGTTATGTTCCCCTAGGATATCTCATTTAATCGATCTCATCGTCGAAGTGAAAATACGCATTAGGGAAGGTTCAAGGTCATGTTGGATAGTGCCGTTATGTATACATTTGTCTTTTTTGTAATTGACGTTGTTTGATGGCGTTTTTGGTTAATTGGATTACTCGAAGCAAACGGCCAACTGAGGCAACATATCTGGTTGTCCTATTAGCTAGCCGTTGTATTCGAGGTGCTTGTTGCACAACGTCCTTTATAGCCTGCCACCAATGTACGCAGAAGTCAGCAAGAAAACGGTGTCCAAGGCGATAGGCTTGAAATTACCGAGAATCAGAGTTCGAAAGAGCTATTGTGCTGTACTGATTGGGGAATAACCATCGGTCGTGGGGAGTGGAGATGGTGAACTAACGTCTTTTTGTGAAAAAACCTGGGCTGGCACCTCCGTCTTTCCCTCACGCCACTAATAGTAGCGTCTGCTTGTGTATCTCATAATTCGATACACCGCTGGGATCATTCATTTTTTTTGTTTCATACACCTCCCAATAACCACGCTGATATCGTCCATCTTGCCTAGAATATTTCTCAGCAACAGGTAAACTCTCAAATGTTGTTCATGGTCCGGGGTGAAAAGGGAGACTGGGATGGATAACGACATACCCCCTTCAATAGTCAAACCCTCTTCTATAGCTTTCTCCATGTACGGACTTTCTGCAAAAGGATCCTGCGCGATATCTTTCGCAGCCTGGAGAAGTTTTCGAGCAGCATAGACAATCGCACCGCCTCCATCGGGAGCGCGATGAGAAAACATATCATCATCTTTCTTGCCAGAATCCCATTCATCCAAACTATCCAGCACCACCTTCAGAACTTCATGTTCCCACAAATTATCGACGACGCCATCGGACACCGCCAGGACGAGGTCTTTCTCCTGCAACTCGATCTGTGCTGATTGCGCGTTTTCCTTGGGCGTGTCTACGCTGTTCGTGCCCAGCTGCATGGGACAGTCAAACCAATGCCACTGACCCTCCGTTTTGAATATGACTCGTTGTTCGCTTGGCCGGATGACGAGCAGTTGGCAATCGCCCAGAGTCGTTACGTAGAGCATGGGAGTGGGTGTGCCAGAGTTTATGGTATAGTGTAGCACGGCTGTGGTGGAAGTTGTTGTGCCCAGCCACTCGTTCGGAGTCGAAGTCGCCTCGACAGTTTGTTCATAGGCGCGTTGTAGATAGGAGACGTTATCTGGAGTGGAGTCCCCGTTCACGTTCCGCTCCACCTCCAAGGCCCAGAAATGAAGGATAAGCCTGGACCACAGCCTGGAAGGTATATAGAAATAGCAAAAGCTAAGATTCAGCTACGCGCTTCTCCTTTTTTTCCTGGCTACAGAAAAAGGGACCTGAATTTTTTCTCTTACGCTGCATGGCCTTGCGGCCTGGTAGCCCAAGCTCCTACACCGTCATTCACGCCTAGGTAATTGTCCGATACAATAACTGCATCGTCGCCGTTCGTCAGGCCCCTGATCAATTGTCCACCTACAGACAAGCGTCTATCCTGGCTTCGGAAGTGAGTTGTCAAGGGGTCGGAGAAAGACGTGGACGGGTTTGATACGAAGGGGGGCGGGAATGGCCGAGAATGTCTTTTGGGACACAGGGCATAGCCAGTTTCGAAGTGAAAGGGAAAACTGCCGGCGTGATGGAGGGGGCCACTTTCAGGAAGAGGAGTTGCGATGCCATAGGTGGGTGCTGTAGCTCTATAGGTGGCTATACCACGACGGAAGAGGCATGCTGTTTGCCGCTTGGAGGGGGATTTGGATGAACATATAGCGGAGCAAGAGGAAGGCTTGAGGGGGGAGAGATTGAGGATCATGCCAACGGAAGAGGATTTTCCTCGCTTGGCCGCGCGGAGGAAGACCGGTCAGTACATCCTGGAAATTATTGATTATCGGAAAGAGATAGGAAGAAGAGGGGGAAGATATTTGGAATGGTTGCAGCGGGGTAGAGTGTCTCTTAAGCCGGTGCTGCTGAGTGGGACGGGATGGAGGGCGATATCACAAAGGCCAGGCTACATAAATACATGGTGTCAGCAAGAAACACCTACATTGCATAGTTATATTTAGCTGAACCACACCAACGCTTAGCCAACAACTATGAGTGCGAGAGACCTCACAAACTAACTGGCCATGCATCATTATTCCTGGTTCTCTTGAATTGCTAATGTAATCATACAGGATGTGAATGTTTCGCCTCTGCTAAAGAAACGTTTATGCTTGAACTTGGAATGAAAGCTGCCCAATCTACAGCGGATAAAATTCTACTGCCTCTTTCTTAGTTATAACCAGAATAGAATGCTTCTTGACTGCAGTCTGGTACTTTGCTGGACAGGCAAGAAAAGATAGAGTTTCGTATCTCAGTGTGTTGAAGTTTACAATACTTTCTAAGCGCCGCGTCCTACCCGCCAACTAAAATTAAAAACGACTCCTGTCCAACCCCACAGAATGCAATAGAGACACCCAATCGATAATAAATCGATAATACTATTTTCCGACTGAACAATGCTTTTGGCCTTGCGGCATAAGGATCTGCTCAAATCCCAGGCCCATTTCTGTCCTTTGGAGCCTATCACTCGAGAAATTGCCCTTTAAGGGTTGTATGAAACTCTTATCCATCAATCCCTTGATTGAAAGATGGGAAGCTGGATATTCAGTGTTCAACGCGTCCCGGAACTGTGTGGTCCCTTGCCTTCAAAACCCCAACTCTTCCCAATCTTTCAAAATGATATGAATGGTGTGGGCCGGTTATTTTCCTCTCCGGATCGAGGACTACTAACTAGTCAACCTTGAGTGTATCCCAGGCGGCTGGTTGCAGTTCACTTGCTTTAGAGAGTCTCTATGCTGGCCAATATGTGCTTCTGATCCTCAGTGCTGCTCTCTCTTCTGAAAAAAAAAAAAAAAAAAAAAAAAAAAAAATGCGGAGCCTTCCTATTTCTATACCAGTCTGTTCTAATTTTACTACTTAATGGATGTTGAGGGCACCAATTTCTCCCTTACTCTAAGCTCTTTCACTTCTCATTGTCGCCGCCAACAATGTCGCGGCTTGGATATAAAAGGGCGCTCATTTCCTGCCATGAGATTCTTCAAATCAACCGTCGCAGAATTTGTTCCATTGTTGAAATGATAGTGTAACTATCGATTGGATGCTGCGTCATATGGGACAAAACAACACTCCACCAGCACGCTGGTGGCTGCTCACACTGCCATGGAGATATCACGACGATGGGTATAAGAGGCTTGTTGGAATGCAACATGGTGAAGGGGCTATTGGAGGCAGATGACTATGTATTTGCTTGTTCGTGAGTAACTGGTTATGCATATTCAAGAATATCTCATCTCAGTGGAATATCATGAATCATCCAACCCGTATGCTACACCGGCAAATGCGCCATTAAAGCAAATTGTAAAATTAATCAAGCAAGGTGGAAGGAATATGGACAAGGTTTCCAAGCAACCGCAGTTCTGGGCAAAGATGAGAAGACTTCCAGAAAATCAAATGCGGAGTATGTTGGGAGATCCAGCAACTGAAACTTCACAGTCTTCATCAGAAAATCACTGAGTTATGTGATTGATGCCTCCAGAAACAAGTTCTGTGCAAAGCTTGCTGTCTTTGCAATCAAAACACATAACCTGAGAATCTGCTTCCAATTCAGATCTCACCCCAGCACATTCAGCATGTCTGCAGACATAACAGAACAGACAATAGACTCAGTTTTCACAAAGTCTATTCTTCTTTCCACAGCAGAGCATGGAATGCTTAAAACTTCACGGTGTAAAATATTGAATCTGCAGAATTGTTGAGTAATACTGCTCTTGAAAAATAAAAGAAGATTGTGACAGTGTCAATGCACTCTTGGAACTGCAAGACCTGAAGATCAGATTCAAAGTTTCTGATGACAAACCAATAGGAGGTAACGTAATCAACCACTCAACGCCCGTCTACACTCAACGCCCGCTATTTTGCCACCACTACAATGAAATCTTTTCATTAATATCTCAACAACGCAATTAGATTTTAATATGATATATTATATGATGAAAATATATATAGAAAATTACATATAAAAATATATAGCTAATTCAAAAGATGTTTGTTGGGCTTAATAACTCGCCCGGAACGCGAAATCTTGGGTGGAGGCAGATTCAATGAGCAGGCAGCGGTCAAATCCGTAGGGGTTGCAATATCATCCGGACCCCCCGGCGGCGGACCCGCGGGCAACCTGGCAGAGCTCTGAAAACGCGATTTAGCCACTCTTTGCGAAATCGAGGGTCTGATTTCCCGATTAGGAAGGTGATTTTTGGACCCCCGAACCTGGCCCCCCCCCAACCGCGATTGCTGCCGCGCAGCAGCTCGTTCTTCCTTTTCCTTTTGCTCTTGGGCCTTCTTTGCATCCCTAAGCTCCCTGTCAATCTGCCGTTGAGCGGCTCTTGCGGCCTTATCCATCTCCTTTTGCTCCTTAGCTGCCTGGCGAGCTGCCTCCCGCTCCATTCGCTGTAACATGATATCTGTCTCCTTCTGCTCCTTAAGAATAGCGTGTTGCAACTTGGCATCCTCCTTACGAGCCTGTTCATCCTTTTTGGCGGCCTCTGCGGCAGTCATCTGCTCGCGGATGCTCTGCACCTTTGCCGGTGAAAAGAACTGTGCCAATGACGGATTTGAAGAATCTAGCAACCCCATTGCCCTGCCACGCTTGCGACGTCTTCTTTCCTGATTTCTGGGTCGATATTGCGCGTCTGGGGGGGTGCAAGGGCGTATTGCAAGCTTTTTAAGAACCTGTTCTGGATCAAATGGATGTAGGCCAACCGCAGCGAACGCGGATATAATATTTGAGGATGTAACTGATTCCTTCCAAGCAGCATCAAATAGCTGCCAAAAAGACCTCTTTGTAGTGCGTACAAATCCCATACCGGTTCTCATTCGCTCATTCAAATGCTTAGAATATGATTTGCTCAATGGTCCAAATATCCCAACATCTAGCGGTTGTAATCGGTGTGTAGAGTGGGGAGGAAAGACAGCAAGTAAAATCTTATGCTGAGCCGCGTAATTGATGAATGCCATATTAACATGGGATGAGTGGCCATCTAATATAAGAAGCCTGTATCCACGCCCTGCTTTCTTTTTTGTATGAGGTTCAAAGATCTTCTTTAACCACATTAACCCATATTCATCATTGCTCCATCCATTCTCTGAAGCAGCAAAGTAGACCTGATCCTTTTTGCTATCAAAATCTTCCAGCCAAGTATCTTGCATATCCCTTGATTCCCCTTGATATATGAGAGCAGGTGGGAGTGAGGTTCCATCGGCGCAAATTGAGGCAAGCAGTGTAATGAATTCGCGGCAGCCATCCTGGCTGGCACCTATTGTACGGCCGGATTTGAGCGCATTAATTGATACAATACGCTTGAGGGTGTGGATGAAGCCCAATAGGAATCCTTTTTCATCGAAGTTGTAGATATTCCCAGGTTCAATATTGTATTTAGTGATCTTTTCCTGTAGCTGCAAATCAACAATAAATTAGCAAGATAAAAGTAAGAAAAGCAGTAGAGAAAAGCAATATATACAAGATCAAAATAATGCTTAAAGTATGTAGAATTGTCCGCAATCTTGCGTTTTTGGTCGATATTTCGCAGGTAAACTGACTTGATTACATCCTTGTGGCGTTGACAGAACCTTGCCACCCAGTTGGCTCCAATAGGTTCTTTTAATATCTCAACAACAAGATTATGAAGGATTTGGGGCGTACAAGGGAAACCGCGATCTGCCAATCGATTGATATGAAAAAGGAGTCGATTTTCTTGCGAATTTGTGAGGATTTTGCGGTGGATAGAGGTTGCTTCCTTTCTTGACGTTTGAACACCTCTATAGCGCCGTGAGAGTGTATAACGACTGATTCCATATTTCTCAGCGGTCACAGTGTAATTAGGAACCAATTGGGCATTCAAATCATCAATCGCGGACAATATAACTGCCTCGTGGTGCATCTTGTGGGTGTTTGAAGATGGATGAAAAAATGAGGATTGGGTGGGCGTTGAGTGTAGACGGGCGTTGAGTGGTTGATTACGTTAGTCAAAGAGAAGCTAAGAAGAACTTCATATTTGATAGTTATTCAGAAGTGGAATTAATCGTGCCAAGTACACACTCTCTCCCTCATTACCTCATGTAAAAATACCCTATTAGAACTACTCCTGTTATATCTTGAGGTCCTTATGTGCTTAAGGCTAAAAGGCTTGCTTGGAATGGCCAAGAGTAGTAATATGAAAAATAAGACAAGGATATTCTTCAAGAGGCATTGCCGCATTGGATAAAAAGCTTCTCTTTGTTGGTTCAAAGTCAGCGCCTGAACATAAGAACAACAAACCTCTAAGCAGTATAAATGTTTCCTCTGGCAAAATAATGGTAGATGACCTTCAAGATCATTTTTTGATGTCCATACAGAAAGGAGACCGTGATCTGATGCAGCAGAACCACAGCAAAAGCGAGCTTGTGAAGTTCACCCAGATGATGTCATGGAGGAGTTGTAGAGCGGAGTGCTAGCTTGACACACCGATAGATAGTTATCGAGCCCAGTAGCCTTCCACGGCATATCTATAGCCCATGCCATATTCGATTTTGATTGCCGCAGATAACTGGCCCCGTGTTCCTCGTACGAAATTGGATTCCAGCATGGTCAACAGGCCAAAAAAAAAACAAATTGACAACATCAGAGCATACGCGGTTTTCTTTTATGAAACAGCTGGACTGAGTTGAGAAGAGGCAAAGCAACATTCAACAACTTTTATCCCGACCCTACAGAAGCCCTATCCTGAAATCCTTACCGAGATCCAGAGCATTGCGGATGGAGCAGGGCCTGGACCAAGGCGACATTCTCACCCTCAATATCCGTAGCGAAATTTCACTAAAATATTACGAGGACTCGCGGGTAAACAAACCACCGTTGATCACTGATAGATGCACAGGACTTGCGCAGTTGTCAGCAGATGGCTCAATGTTAACCCTGGCCCAGAACCGGTAATGAATCGAAGAACTGCAGGACGGGATGATCATCTTACTATCACTCAGAATATAATTGCAAGTGCAAGCACAGCCATATTCCTGAATCACCTGGAGCGCTTGATCGAAGCTTTTTGTGTACTGGAGGAGCCAACGCGGCATGATATGCGTCGGTAGTCTGTCAGTAGTCTTTGCTCCCGCCCGCAATGCGTTGTCGCATAACCCAAACCCATGCGAGTTCATACCAATTTTGCCCACAAGGCTTGCCTCGTTCACAAACTGCATGCGCATTCCGCCATCAGTCAAAATGTCCATAGGTAAATTTGCCGACATTGAGATCTCACTGCGAGGAATTTCCATGACCACTCCCCTTCCGCCGTCATCTTCAGAGCAGGCGTCATCTGACCCCAGCGCCAAATGAAAAAAGTGGACGAAGTCCTTTGTTGCGCGCACCAATCATGTGAATTTCCCCCAGTCTTTCTCAGATGGTCCAATATACAATCATCCAACATCCAACTCCTTCACACGCCTTGTGAGAATAACAGAGTTGACCCAGAAGGACATCAACGCGAATTTACCCTTAACGACCAAATCTGTTATAAAGCGCCTTAAGGACCAGCAGGACGCATCATATAGCATTTGTCGAGATCGACCTACAGGCGCCAAGGGGATGGAAAAGATGTCAACTCTTGCAACAATTGTAGTGGAATTTGATGCTGTCGGCGGGAAATGTAAAGGAATGGCGACAATGGGCCGGCCATGTGAAGACTAGTTGCAGAGCAGACATTTTAGATCTCAGGGAAATATGGATTTGTGTAGTTGGGTCATTTTTGATTAGGAATTATTGATATTCATACAGTCACCGAAACATCCAGACACAACTTGAGAGGAGGGGAAAATGTATTAGCGGAAATATAGTGCACATCCACTAATAGGAAACGTACCTAAGATCAAAGAAAACAAGTAGTTGCTGTGGGTCAACTTATCTATAAATAGAAAGCTGATAGCAAAAAGCATGTCAGATCTGGGAAACTGTTGACACGCAGTATAATGGTCTAAGTCTCGTTCCCATCACAGGACCCATCTTGAGAGCTCCCACTGTCATAACCGTAATCGCCACTTTCGAGTTTTCGCAGGAGATCTCTTACAGTATCGGGATCGCGTTTAGAGGGATCCTTCTGAAGGAGATGGTGAATAATGTCTCCGATCAACATCCTGAAACTAATGTTTTTTCCTAAGCAACGATTTTCACTTAGATGATCATCAATCAGGAGGAGTTGACCATCATCATCATGATCTAAGTTGGATTAGCACATACAATCAATGAAGACATGTGATTGATACTACACACTCAAGTAATCACGCTGATCATATTCTTCGAAGAAATTCTCGCCGGCTAGACCGTAAAGAAGCTATAGGGAGCATAGATCAATACTTGCTGGGCATAGATTGCGAGACCGAAGCCAGCAACTTACCACGCAGCCTAAACTCCAGAAATCTGACTCTGCGGACGCACACCGTCCTTCTTCATTCTCAGGCGCCTGGTAGTATTTGGTTCCCCAGACCTTCATCTTTGTCGGCTCCTCAAAAGTTGCGATTATATAAGTTTTGTATTGCACACATGGATCATCAGAAGAAAAACGTACATAAGCCAAAGTCGATGAGGTCTACTTTGGACATATCTTCTTTATCTGTCAACAGCCCAATCTCCTCATGTTGAACAATATACTTCGGCAAATTTGGGGGTAAACTTGGCGCTTCCCCCTTTTCACCGATGTAAAAAATATCCACGTTGCAGTCGCACATGAACGAATTGTGGAGGGCCTCAGAAGTGAAAGGCATCCTTATGCAGTCCTAGAACAACATTCTTGCTAGTTATATCTATATTAAAAAAAAAAAGTCAATATTCGCGCGGCCCGTGTAAGTCTCCCATGTAATGCCAACGCACTCACCCCCATGATGGATGCCCAACTGATGAAGAGTTAACACTCGATTCACCAGACAGCTTATAAAGGTCGTTACTGTAGATATGTTTGATGGAAAGGGGATTTCGCTGTTCTCTCGGTCGTGTAGACTTGACCCTACAGGATCCATGGCTAGACATAGATATTCGAGATTGTTGATATGTTTGTAGAAGAATGCAGCGCGCAACTTTCCTAGCTTTTTGAGAATCCTCATTTCAGTATTGTCACGGGTACTGTACTTAAGTGTGAGAAATTTCAGTGCGAGACATACACATTTTTGGCCAGCCAGACAGTCGAGAAGGAGCCGTAGCCCAGCTTGGCGACAATTTTGAAGGAGATCGTGTCTCCGCTTTGAAGCAAATCCTGTCCACCCTTCACATCACCCAGCAGAACGGGACAGAAATCGCCATGCTCATATACAGACAGACTCTCAGAGTTATAACCATCTGGCCCACGCGTAAACCACCCCGGAGTGGGTGATCCCGGCCGACGCTTGACTCGGCTATGGAAGGAAGTCATGGCAGCCAGCTGGTTGAGTCTGTACTTGGAATGATGCATTGTTAAGGGAACTTGTTTTGTTGTTTTACTTATTGAGTGTGGTTTTACTGTTCGTTGCTTTTCCTGTTCTTCTTCTTCTCTTTTTTTTTTTTTTTTTTTTTTTTTTTTTCAGCTTCTTTGTTTTGTGTCTCTTTCGTGATATTGATTCCTAGTATATTGAAGTTTTTGTACTTGTATATCTTCCCTAGGTCATAATAATAGCTAGATATTCAATTTACTACCCGGTAGTTGATTGATTTTTTATCGCTTCATATGTCACTAAATACTACTTCTGCCACTGTAGCTACTTAAGAGTTTTCTATAATTGTCATGGTGGAACCATATGGATGTGTATTAGCATGTCGGCAGCTGAGGCATTTATATATGTGCGGTGCGCTATTTAGTCCGTGATAGGCAGCCTAGGGCCAACAGAAGCGTATCTTCTAAAATAATACAATGATAAAAGAATGATTTATAAAAGTTTGTGATGATATCAATCATTTTAATAATACATGGAAATTTTGCTATATTGATGGTTTTTTGCGACTGATTTTCAGGGTGGCTTGGAAAAAATCAAATCTGTCCTCCACAATAACTGCAGCCTGACAACACTTCTCTGTTCACAAGTGTATCACAGCATTTCCTATTTGACGATAAATAAAAATACAGCCCCAAACTGGCGATTTGACATTGATCAACTCCAGCATACGCACTGGCAGTTATACCACACACACAGAGAGAGAGAGAGGTGGGGGGAGAGAGAGAGAAAGGAAATTTTAATGGAAGCAAGAGCTGGTATTTTAAATCCCCCGAGCTGCTTGACGACGACTAATTTATTGAAAACAACGTCCATGTCAAACCTCTGCCTGCTTTCCTTCAGTTCAATTCCCAACCCTCATCCCAATATCTCCATCATAAATCGTGAAATTAAATTACCAGAAAATCAAATACACTGGAAAAAGAATAGTTCCGGGCACTTACATCATAATCGCAAATCTCCATCCTGCACACAACTGTCCTTCCCTATGCGTATTGGAGCGTCCCCATTTCTTTCTCGCATTGCACAGTGTTGAAAACAGGAGGGAGAAGAATGGAATAAAATAAAATAGACAAAGAAAATCCCCTTCCTTGGTCACAGACTAAACCATTCACCTCTCCCTACACCACCCCCATAATCTCCCGATACGCTAGAGCCTCCTGATGAAAAACCTCCGCACCAGCCTTAACTTCCATATACACTTCAAAAAAACTCAACACCACCCCTTTCCTAACACTGCATAACCCCGCAAATAACGCGCAGCCCAACTGCGCACACCGTCTCGAGAAGTTCTCCGTAGGGTCCATTATCACTACAGCCTGCTGCTCGCGATGCCCCTGCCCCTGCGCAAGCCCTTCTTCGTCCAACCATGGCGGGCCATAATACTGCCCAGCAACTTCGACATCGCATAGAACGCTCATCCGCGCACTGCATGGGCACGTGCGGGCGAACTTGAGAGTGCATTTGCGCGCGCAGGAACAGTAACCGAAGCAGATGCAGAGCTGGTCCCGGACGTACTGGCGCAATGCGCGTTTTCCCTCGGTGCGTCTGTACTCGCCGACGGAGATGCCGTTGAGCATGGCGTAGGCTGCTTCGCGGTTTGCTTCGGTGCGGCGCCGTTCGGGGAGCAGGCGGTGCATCGAGAGTGTTGCGGCCGATGAGGCGGAGGAGGAGGTGCTGGAGGAAGCGACGCTGTTTTGGCGGCTGATTGCGATTATTGCTGTTGGAGGCGGGATTGGAGTTGGTCTTGCCATTTCTACCGCGGCGTACTCGTAGTGGATATTGCTGCTATCATCGTTCCTGTCCGCGGGCCTTTGGAACCCGAGATACTTCTCTGACAGCATGGCAAGCACCATGCATGGTGCTTCTTTATAAATGGGATTCAGACCGATCAGCTCCCTTGCGAAGGGTGAATTGGGGTCAAAGACTATCATTTCGACATGTCTGCGATACTCCAGCACGTCATCTCGGTGACAGTATCCGTCGCTGTCGTTGGCAACAAAAGCCTCAACCGCATTCTGGACGTAAGAGGCCTGTTTCATGCAAATGAGCTCTTGATCGAGAATGTTGCAGATATCCTCTGACGTCAGCAGCCGTTTGCAGGCCTGGAAGATCATGCTGACGTTGCTTGGTCCTGGGAGGTATTGCCCAGCAGAAGATACGGATCGATAGTTGTTCTGGCCCATTCGCGTCGTTCCACCATCGTTGTCCCGTCGGAAGCTCTCAGAGAGTTGCACGTTGGTGATTTCGATGTTCAGTCGTGCATAGAGTGCATAGAACAGATCTTCGATGGTCTGGAGGAGCTGCGCGTTGGAATCCTGAGCCATCTGGTCCTCGACCTGCTCGATGTGGAATTTTATGCCACTGTGCGCATCGTCAAGCTGAGGATGAAAGTTAGTCCAGAGCAAGAACATCAGGATGTTAGTTCTTGATATGTTTCATGCATCTTCTGCTCTCGTAAAGGGGTAGATGGCGTGACTTACCTCCACACCGTACGCCATCAAGATGATGAAAACGAACTTGGCAATGCCATAAATCTTAGAATACACGGCTACGATACGGTCACGCCTTTCCCTGGCCTGCTGCAGCAGTTCACTATCTTTGGAAGAGTCAGGGCGCATATCAAGCGGCTGGACACGTTTTGGTTCCTGTATCATGCTGCTGGAAGGGTGGAAGTTGTTGTATGGTTTGTATGATGTGGGAAGACAAGAATGAAGGGATTTTAACGAGATTGGAAGTCAGTGTTGGCGATATCGCATGTCAAACCCGTTGTTTAGATATCTGTTATACTCTTCGGTGTGTACTTGGTGTTTGTGTTCAGCCAGTTAGGGGATAAGGCAAGAGTATAGAGAAAGGGGAGGGGGTTGAGGCGGGGCGGGGGCCTCTGGTAGAAATGGCAGTCAACGGCAAAACGCAACCTTCATCGATGCCAGGCGACAGTGACTCTTTTTGTTCCCCAGCCTCCCTCAAGTGTAGCTTTGTATCTTACTGTATTCACTCACTGGCCATTAAGGATGGGTATTTTGGTTGTCTAGGCCTCCTTGGGGTGTCAAAAAGGAGAGGCTGTCGGGGGTAGCGAAGGGAGTGAATAGGTATAGCCTATTTAATACACATGCATTGTGGCAACAATGAGTAGGGGAGGGGTGCTATATCAATTGGTAATGACTTTGTGATATACTATAGCAATCTCAGTGACATTTACTTCGCTAACTTATATATGAAGTTAAATAGTGCAATGGAGGAGGAAGACTTCCCCAATAGAGCAAAACTAAATACGTATATTAATATATACCCCTCGAGGTTCAACAATAGCGAGCATCAGTAAAAGGTAGGCCAGACACAATCCATTTCAGAGCTCTGGTCCATCGATGCAAGAGTCAATTGAATATCCTAAATTTCCGGATGGCTGGGGATATTGAATCTGTTCTCCCCAAAGTGGACATGAATTTGCTTTGAGAAAAGAATAAGATGTATCCAGAGTTCTTGTTATCAGTGAATTGAAATGTTGGGTGACAGCATTGAATTTGAGTGTTATTGTACGTTAAAGAGTGGTTTAAGGAGAAGCTGCAGTAGCAAAGTCAGATGAAAAATTGCAGAAACACATATCTAGGAGACACAAGTACAAGAGAGATTGTGATCTAAACTATTTCACCTGTACTTACCCTCAAGCAAGTATATGGACAGCAAGATTTTCCAAGGAGATGTGGAAAATTAAAACAGAAAGCATCGGAAATCCAACAAGTTGTATTATAATCAAGTCTCTATAGGTAGTTATAAATTTGTCACGGTATGTTATAAGAGAAGTGAAATATGGACCCAGGAATATACGAAGGAAAATGAACAGCAACAAAGGCAAAAATTTGCGGAAAAACTTGAGAAAAACATATTTTCAAAACGAAGATAGCCGCCCAGTATAGCCCACCTCAGCATGAACTTGTATCAAAGGAAATAATAAAATAATAATGCCACCTCCATCCGCAAAAACTAAGACGAACTGTGCTTTTGTTCTTCTCGACAATATGTATATAGAAAATTGGGGTTTTTTTCTGTTTGGGAGGGTGGTCGGGGGAGAGATCAGGAATAGTGACGATAGAAATTAGCCAAAGAGGTCAAAATAACCAAGGTTTGGCTATCAATAGCTGATTCTGGTTTTCATCAATCTAGAATCTGCAAAACCCGGACCCCATTAACATGTGAAAAGAATATATATAAACAGGAAGGAAATAGCAGGTAAATAAAAAGAAACAACTGAAAATAAAATAGACAAAATGGCGAGTACTAGTATGATTCCGGGTAGAGATAAGGGGGAATGCGAAGAGCGCGCGAGATGCGTAGATCGATAGATAATGGCCGTCGGGAGAAAAATATGTTCGACAGAGGTTGATGAGACCAGGGTCCTTAGAGCTCAAGCGACAGCAGCATTCGGGGCAACTTTTACTATGCTTTTTTCATCAGTTTCTCGCGGACTCCCACCACCCTTATTCGAGCTCTCTAGCAGTTTTGACTCCGCAGCTTGCAGTTTCTCCTTGATTTCCGAGATCTCCTGTTGTAGCGACTTGATGTAAACAATTGCCATTTCAACGGTGCTTGCCTTGCTGATAGTTTGAGTTGAACTTGGTCTATCTGATGATTTGCTGGTGGCCCCATCGCCTCCATCAATGCCGACCTTGTCTGCTTTTTCCCTCTCTCGTATTAGTGACGGTGGCAGTAAGCTTTCGATCTCTTTGAGCGCGGTATTGATGCGATTTCGGCGACCCTGTTCGGCTAGTTTATGATTCGTCCGTTTGGAACTCAGGTTTTCGGCCAATGCGTTAGGATAAGAGACACCTGGGAGAAGAGTACCCTCGAGGATATGTTGGTAATTGGATTTCGAGGCGAGGTAAAGAACTGATGTTTCCGTGTTGATGCCCACTACGGTTGAGAAGTCAGTTAGATGTTAGGCTCATATACAGGCAGGGAAAGAAACGGAAATAGCCACCGCAGGAGGATACTTACCATCGCCATGAATTAAAGGTTGAATGCTGGGACTAATTTTCGGCCGCAATGCCGGGCTAACCTGCGAGGAGCTAACACTTTGTCGCTTCTTGGACACCCTGCCATTCAGTTTCGAATCCGTCCGCTTGAGACCGACTGGCCCAGTTGGAGATGCCATAGCGTTGATTTGAGGGCTTGGGGTGACGGAGGTGATATATGGACGTTCTGAAGATCCATTGTTGGCTGGTTTCAACCTTAGCGTCTGTTCTGCTACGATTTTTGGGGTTGTTTCACCGCTCGTCACTATTATCCCGGATGACGCGGTAGCGAGTTCAGAATTCGAGGATGCGGCTTCGGGTAACGACATATCTTCCATCGTCTCATCAGGATATTCATTGACAGTGAGGCCTCCGCTTCTTGAGAATTGGTTCTTGGAGTTTTGCGGCGTAGGCTGGGATTGGCGCTGCAAATTCATCAGAGTAGCAGGAGTTGCGGCCTCGCGGGATATTGCTTCCGATCTAGAGTCTTGCGTTCCTATGCACGGGGATTTTGCCGATCGGGGAAGTGCAGGCGGTGGCATCAATGGCTCTGATAAGGGCTCTGGGGAAACAGAATCCTGTCCGGAACTTTCCGTACTTCCTGTATGGCGATATCCATCGATTTGTTTCACTGATGGTCGACTCGAGCTCTTGTCATGGTTCGCAAAAATGCCACTATCGGCAGATGGCCCGGATGTGCTGGGTTTTCGGCGGCTAAGAGGACGGACTGACGGAGATTGACGAGCTAGACGTGAACCAGCTCGATTTGAAAAGGACGACTTTGCCCGCTGTTTGCGCGACGTTCCTGGAGACGAGGGAACAGAGGTAATGGGAAGCTGATTGGCCATTTCTACAGGCGAGGATATAAAGCCCATATCGGGAGTGTGGGATGTGGTGCCATTGAAAATATACCCATTGCCATTGGAATTTCGAGCTTCTAGAGCTGGCGACGTAAGAGGTGTAAAGTATTCGCCAGGGACAGTGTATTCTGGAATGCAGAACTGTTGTTCTAAGGGGGTCATCGCGGGAGAAAGTGAGGGAGTGAAAGCGCTCTGTAAAATTTGTTAGAGTCAAATATCGGAGGGAATGGGAAACAAAATTTTTTTTTTTTTTTTCTCTTAATTTAAGTATCGAGTGGCCCTTTATTCATACCTGATCATCACTAGGTCTTGCGTAATGCTCATAATGTCTATGGTTATCCGTGTCCAATCGGAGACAGTCCCTGGGGGACTCCAGCATGCATCTCGGTGCTATTCGGG